CGTAGCTTATCAGCTGTCGGCTCAGCAGGCAATACGATCGTGTTGCATTTATGATGGTACCGATCCTTGCTATCAACAACGGTTGAAATCAGCGCCCCTATCGGGGTACAAGAAGTAATCCTACAGCTTTCACACAGCCTGGCAGGCAAAGGACGGCACACCTCACATGCCCTCATTCCACAACCAACGCATGGAACAAGAGGGAAACCGAACTCAGGGATTCTGCCACATTTAGTGCACTTATCCCGCTCGTCATCTCCCCTCAAGGCTTCAGGTAGAAGACCGCCATCTCCCTGCCTGCCGGCTCCGTGAATGCTGTAGCCAAGACTAAGACCTGGCCCAAGATTACTAGCACTCCCGACACTCGATGGGTAACCTGCAGCAACGTTGGGCTGGCTAACGCCAACACCGGTGCCTTGGTGGTTAACACCACCCCCGTAGGCTGGACCATAGAAGCTGGAACCACATTGATTGTTCCCAGCTCCGTGAGAATCTACAGCAGTACCGCTAAACGTCGGCGCTCCTCCTCCCCAGGGTGTCCTCGGGAGGCACCCCGGCGGCGCTCCACGGCCAGCGCGCTCATGTCCCGCATGGCAGCGCGAACACCGTTCAAGACAGTCATGCCCAAGAAGCGTATGCTCATTGCAGCTGTTCTTCTCGAAGTCATGACAGGAATACATAGATATTTCCTGAGCATTTTTGCGACAAGCCCAGCACTTCATCTTCAAGAGCTGGCAATTCCAACAGTCCCCATCGTCACCCTTACACAATCGTCAGAATTCACGCTCACACGTGACACAAGTAAAGCTCGCATTCGTGCGCTTTCGATCATTAGGGTTGTCCTGAGCACATATTCTCGAGAGATCAGGTCCATCGCCATCTGGCGCACCGCTCGCAGTCGGGTTTTTTCGGCTATCGCCAGGAGTCGGAACGTCAGCACGGGCCCTGTCGCTTTGGCCACCTCCGCTATCGCGGATTGGTCTTTCATCCTAACCTCGGACTCCCTATCGGGAACCGCGGCAGCTCTCGGGCTCCTGTTCCTACTTTCATCCCTGTCCGGGGAAATTGAAACATTAGCCCTGACACGCGCCTGTGGATCATCCCTTGTGCGCCTCGTCGGCGGGGAGTATGACCTATCTTGCATCTGCAGAGCCCTTCTGCTCCGGCTATCCTCCCTCTCCCTAACGGGAGAGACAGGGCGCCTGCTTGCATGAGAATCAGCATCAACCCTACTAGGCACGCTTGGCAAGACTGACCCCCTGTTGACCTGAGGTTGGTCACTCGCGTTGATTCTCCTACTGTCCTCGAAGACATGACCAGTTAGTAGCGCCCCCACCTGGCCTGGCCGATGGGACAGAATTCTGAGCATTTTCCTGTGTCCTTGTCCAGCGAAAGCATCGTACCCGACGTTTGGCCTCCGGATTGTGTTGAACGACCTGAATCATATCGGCCGCATCATCAACATGTCCCTCGAGATCGGCAAGCTGCCCCATAACTCGGGTATTCATTTCATTCAGGGCACGGATGTTGTTTTCGACGATGCCAAGCCTCCGCATGGTCGTATCTAACATGTTGCGATAGAAGACAAGCTCCCGTCTAACGACGGCCTGTGTCTGTTCCGTGCCTGAAGGAAGATTAACAAGCTGAGTTCTTATAGCTTGCACAGCCTGCTGAAGCCTTTGTGCACTCTCATGAACGTAGCGATACGGGCGTTCGCGGTCTCGACATTCTCGACGACAGTATCATGATTCCGACCTTGGCGATAGACTCTACGAGTAAGATCCTGAACCTTCCGGTTAATCTCCTCGATCGCCTCGCGTCAATCCTGAGGGGCATCGGGGTCCCTAGGTCTATCGACAATGTGGTATCCCCTGCCACCCCGTGATTCCAGCATTTGGTCAGCAAACGTTCTGTGCTCATCCTGGAGCTCGTCAATAGCCCTAGTAGCCCATTCCGCATGTCGGTCACTTTCACCTTGGAGTCTATCGACTCTCGCGGTTAAGTCCCTGAAACTCACGTCAGTCCCGCTGCTAGTGGCCCTATCGGGCCCCGATGCAGCCGGAGCATCAGAAGACGGAGGCAGCCTAACGGCCTTCTCTACCGAAAAGAGTCATTTTTCTAACTTTTCAACCTCAGTGTTGGTCTGGTCCTCAAAGGCACCTTGGCTTCTGAACATAGCGAGATGCTTATCCTGAACCACTTGACGAAGCTGACCCATTCCACTTTCTACGTTCCTACCGGAATCCTGAACTTCATTGGAGAGTGAGTTGATCCTCTGATCTATGATCTCGCTCTGCTCATCGATTGCATGTCTAACGATCGCTCTACTATCGGGAACGATCTCACCGGCAAACCGTTGAACTATCAATCGCATTCGGTCAGCATCCGCTTGGGTCTCAACCTCGGTGGCCAAGCGACTAACCCTGTCCTTCATCTGCTGATTCTCATCATGCCACTCCCTGCGCATGGAACTCACCTGACCGTTCAGTAACCTGATCTGATTAGCAAAAGCGTTGAGGGTGTTCACAACCGAACCAGATGCTTCGCCTCTTTCAAACATCTCCTGGATGTGCAAATCAAATCCTTCCTTAATCCTAGCGTCACCGGAGTCACCAGAAGAATGAGATCTGAGGGCCGGAGGGGTCGATATCTCGATCCTCTCAGGAACCCTTTCAACTCTGGTGCGCCCTCTCTGGGGTCGGAAACAGGACCATCAGTGATCCTGGACGGCCTATTTGGACTGACGCCCCTTCCCGGCTATCGCCGGGTCTGGGATTAACATTCGACCCATGGGACTCAGGTGTGGAGTGAATATGAACATCAGCTGGATCAAACATGTCCTCATCCTGCAGCTTCGACCTATCGGTCCCTCCGGCTAAGGGTGACGGCCTCTTTGCAGAAGCACTGCGTTCCCTGCTGGCTGATCCCCATTGAGGAGTGAATTCATTACTTGACCTTCGTGGCTCGAGGTCGCTGAGATCTCGCCCTAGCGTTCTTGCGATCGGCGGGCGATCCTCGATCTCTGGTGCACTTGAAAGTCTTCCGTCCCTTGCACCTGCTTCAACCACGTTGGCGGCCCGCTCAGTGATCCTGGACGAACCAGTACTCCGGTTAATGTCCTCGACTCTTTGACGCAGCGGTCCTCCAAAAGTGATATTGGATGGCCTCCAAACCCGTAAGGGTGCCCCGACTCTCCCGGATCCATTCTCTCTCACTCCGGGTGTCCCTGTCCTCACGAATGTCCCTTGCAGCTCCACGAGTAATGTTCCTGGCCCTCGCAGCATCACGGCTCCTTGCATTTCGGTATGACAAACTCTCTTCCTGATCACGAGCATCCGCAAATGCGGCATAATCATCATCATTATCGAATTCAAATGGAGTCGTTGAAACTGGGTTAGGCCTATCAGTATCAGACTCAGGCTTCACGCCACCGCCCCATCCTGCGGTCGACGATAACAGGGCATCGTATCCGACGCCTGCAAACGCCCTCTCCTCGTGCTCATCAAACTGGCCTGGATTCTGAGACCCAGTTGATCGACCCGAGATATCTCTCGGAGCCAAGACCATGGTTCCTGGTCCTGGCAGCCTGTCCGCGACTCCTTCCGGGGCCTGTGATTCACCTGGCAAAAGAGACCTGGGAGATCGACTAGGCATGGCTTCCAGGTCGTCCGTATGAGGACGAGCCATGTTCATCGCCATACTGATGAAGTCCAAATGTTCTGGTCCGAAACCTGATTCGGAGCCGCCCCTATCGGGGCGAGCTCCTCGTCCTTGCTCATCATCGGTGGCCTGACGAAAGATGCGGTCGTCTCCATCGTCAGTGTACCTGCCACGGCTTCGGGGTGTGTCCCTATCGGGATCATCACCCCTGCGATCCTGACCTGCTGAACCTGCCTCGAATTCCTCGTAGTCGTAGTCCGGCAAGTCCTCACCTGAACGGAGACCACCTAGGATAGCCTCCTCATCCACGACACTCCTGTGAGAGCGCGGGGTCGACGTCATTGAGCTTGTAGTTGATGGTCTCAAGCGCGTAGGAAAGTCCTACGGCTGATAACCTGTGATTCGGGCACGAACCTGTGCCCAGACAATGGGTTAGTTGGGGCCCCAAAAGCAAACCAATCCCCGGTCCCAAAGATCAGGGTTTCCCACACACCGGAGAACAACAACCAAAAGGGAAAAACCAAAACAAGTAAACAAGCACCCGCAACCTTGATCGACGGTGAACCGCACGGGCGGACCCCACCAATCTGCCCCGGGCCGATGTCTCTTTCTCCACCGACACGAAGGTGATCGACGCGGGGACCCGGCGACGCTCATCCGAGGCGCGACGGACCCGCAAACTTGAGCCTTGAGCCAAACACCACCGGTCAGTCACTACCGCGACTTCCCAGATGATGATTTAAACCATGGCTAATCACAAAATCAATCAATCCAATCCAATCCAATCCAATCCAACCCAACCCAACCCAGTCCAATCCAATCCAATCAATCAACAAATCAATCAATCAATCAAATCAATGAATCAAACAATCAATCAATCAATCAATCAACCAACCAACCAATCAATCAATCAATCAATCAATCAATCAATCAATCAATCAATCAATCAATCAATCAATCAATCAATCAATCAATCAATCAATCAATCAATCACAAGTGTCGTGTCTTTAAATCAATTGGAGCGCCCAAAGGCAAACGCCAACACTCCCCATCACGATGGAACCTCTTGGCCCCTTCGAGCGCAACAAAGAATGTACCAGTTCTTGCCGGCCCTGCTGCATGTCAGCATGGCCGTTCGCGCCAGGGACAACGAGAGTCAGCTCGAGTTGCCAGCAGTTCAGCTTCACAGCACCGAATGAGCCAAGTTGAAAGACCATGCTTGTACTACAGGCCAGGCCCTCCCTGCAAGTAAATCAAAACCAAACGTTGACCTGAGCACACTGCCAACATTCGATAGCCTCTCTCTCTTCCAAGCCTGCAACTCCCTGCAACTCAGCGGCAGGAAAACTTTGCTGCGCCCAACCTGCCATGACTTGGCCTCCTGAAGTCAGGCCAAGGCATGCGACAAAGACCCAGCCATTTCGAGTCTGATGGAGTGACAAAGCGCTCGCCAAGTTGCCACAGGCTGCCTTTGAGCCTGAAATTTGGCCTCAGACCACCAAATACGCTTTCGGTTTGCTCAGGAGGGACGAAGCAACCTATGTGTGTGTGTGTGTGCGCGCATGTGTACGCATAATATGCATAAGTATATATATATTTATTTATTTATGTGTGTGTGTGTAAATAAAGGCTGCCGTGACCGCTGCAATCTGCAGCGCAAACAAACAAAACAAACAAACAAACAAACAAACAAACAAACAAACAAACAAGCGACAAACAACCACAAACAAAATAAACACGAGAACTCAGTGAAGTCCGAGTGTGTGCAAACGAGGGTCCTCCACATCTGTCAGAACGCGTCGGCATAGCTCTTTGTAATCTGGATCCAGGCTTCGGCCAGTTGACACATGAGGGCAAAGAAGCCGGAACCTTCAGCCGAACAAGTTGGACAAGTTGCCAGCATGAAGCCAAGAGCAGAAAGTACAAGACAGCTCCAGCTGCCTGTTGAAAAATTCCTTGAAAGGACGACGCACTGGGTAGCCAGCCTAAGCTATTCCAAGCAATAAGACTAGGAGGGAACAAGGCAACAAAGAAAAGCCAGCATCTTGCTTGCTGATCACAAGGTCATAAACACATATTCCAATACATACAAAGAAAGGCGGCATTGCTCGTTTTTGATATTTGCAAGCTCCCACTTCAATACTACCCTTGTTCTCTCTCCCATAAGCTCCAGTTGGCCTTCAGCCCAATGACAGCTGCAAGCACCATCTAAATTCCGCAAAAAAAAGGCGCTCCAAGTAGCCCTCCGGATTCGAATGGACTCCAGCATGCCAGCACACCGGAGCTGCCTCTGAACATCCAGCGAATCCATCTCATGCGCCTGAGCGCGGGCAAGGGAGCCAAGCAGCAAACACCGGCTGCAAAATGAAAAAACAGCGCCTGCTTGTTGCCATTTGGCTTGATGCACCGGATGTAGCGAGGATTGGTGCCTTGCGGAATATGCTCCAAAAAGGTGGCAGTTCCCGCGGAGCAAACATCGAGGGGGCTAAGGGGAAACGGTGTGGGAAGTGCAACAGCATCTCCCGCATCTGTGCTTCACAGAGCCCGTCACTTCTGCGAATGGAGAAAAACAAAGACGTGCTTGACATAGTCAAGCTTGCGATTGCAGCCCAAGTGCGATTGAGATCCTCTACAAGCTGATCCAGCTGCTGCCGGAACATCACACTAACGGTGACGTTCTGCCTGACAGGCTCGGTGCAATTCTCAATTGGCAGGCGGTCTCAGCCTAGTTTGTCCTTATGGACCTGTTGCCCCCTCTAACAAATCCAAGTCCAAAGTCACCTCTCTGGGGTTCTGGCTTTGCTCTCTGGTTCGGCTCCCCACGCTTTGCCGGGGGAGCTCCGGGTCGGCTCTGGGCTGCCTGAGCCTGCAGGCTGGAGTCTGCATGCTCAGGCCAGCTGCGCCCGGCATGTTCTTGATTCCTTGAGCGCGCCTGCATATCCGGCGCGAAGCGAGGGTCTGAGAACAGCCTGGCCAAAGCAAACCACACCACAAAACAAAGACTGCAATGCCAATTGCAATTTGGCGACGTCCGCGTGATGGGCATCGAGGATGACTTCAACAGGTTTGTGATATCCTCAAGGCTGGGTTCATCCTACACGTCTGACCTTTTGGCAGCAGCGGCGGCATGCTAACAGTTGCAGGTCCAGGTGCGGCATGAAGTTTGTCTGTGTTCTTCCTTAGCCGATCACAAGCACAAGCATGCCCTTATGCACGCTTGTATGTTTTCTCATTCATCCCAGCCGCTCCAAGAATGAAATGACCTCACACCAGCAAGCAGTCCTCATTCAAGCAAACTGCCAGGTGGGGCTCATGCATTGTAGACCACCTCGCCCGCATAATGTGCCACTGCAAAATTTGTGGACTTGAAACGGGACGTCTTGTAGACCTGAGCTGTGTTTTGTGACTCTCTGCCATCACTTGTATAAATGAAGCCGGTTGCCAAAACTGGCTTAGGTCGCCAGCCACGCGTGAGGACTTGAAGGAACTATGAATCTTGCCTTGGGTCGACCGGCAAACAGTGGCACGGCCAAGCCCAAGCAACACGTTTCAGCAACCAGGGGCGACAGCACAGCCACAAACATGTGAAAATGCACTTTACGGACACAGACGCATGAAATTGTGACACCTGCAAAGTCACAGTTCAGGGACACATCCTCAACGGCATGACCGTGAACTGGTCATGCTTTAGCAACAAAACGAAATGCCTGACACATGAACATGTTTCGCCCGACACATGGCAAGGGCAATGCCAGCTTTGGCAATAGAACAACTGACCACAAATGGAAAAATAACACGCCAGCACGCGCCATGTGGCATTCTTGTGCATTCGGAGCTACCCCAAACTACCCCACAGCATGACGACAGCAATCCAATAACACGCGAATAAGCGCCTGCATGTGCATTCCAAGCCAAAAAGCGCAAAACCTACCCGGCCCTGAAACGCAAACCCGCCACTGCAACGACATGCTCATCATTGCGGCAACATTGCGCACACGCAAGAAAAACGGATTTCACTAAAAAACAGACGCCTGCCTCTTGCCATCCTCCTGTTTAATCTCCCCCATACTGCGCCCTCAGCTCGATGCCTCACTGCCTCACTGCTAGCTCAATTCAACTTTGTCAAGCTCGTGTCTGCCCGCTGATTCTTTCTATTGTTTTCAGAAGCGTTTGGCAGGCTTCCACAATCGCCCTCGCCCTGAAGATCGCAGCTTCAGTGTCTGAATCTGCATCTAAGCTTGGACCAGGGCTTCGTCCTTGTGAGGCCGCTCCTGCTGTTTTGTTGCGGGATTGGGTGCGGGATTTGCTTGTATTTTTGCTCCGGCACGCCCAAATGCCGCAACTTGCGTAGACAAGCACAATCAACATCGCCAGCGTTGTTTCACCCCCCCCATTGTCTTTTTTAACACCCCTCAACCCTGATTAGTTAGCGGCCCCCCGCCCAGGAAGGGTTGGCTTAGGGTTTGTGCCCTCCTTGCTGTAAGAAGTGACGTGACAAAATTGCGAGCTGCAGTCGTCTAGTTTTCGCATCATCTCGTTGCGGTACGAGATAGAAAGTGTATGACTCACGGCCGCTTCGGCAGAGCAGCAATGGGACATGGGTGCCAATCCTGCAGGGGATTAAAGTGAATGGCACCCATCCCGCACCGTGACTTTCGGCCAAGTTCGGATTTGCCACAAACATGGCATCAGACAAGCTCTTGCAATCAGCGGCCTCAGAAGAGGCTCTTTGTGAGGAAGTAGTTCGTGAACACGTTTCTGGCTTCGCTTGCCAAGGTCAATCTTGTAACCCTGAGGCGCGTGTTGTCGTCGACTGGTTCCACGGTCTGCCACTTCATCAAGACTCATACTCCTTGATGGTGGGCCTCGACGTGCTGCTTGATGACCTCTTCCGGCCCTTCATCATGCGGCGTGCTTTGCGTTCCTGGCGAGTCATCCTCTGTTTGTTGACAGGCTTCTTCGGCTCAACGTTCTCCGGCTCCGCTCTTGCCGCTGGCAACTGCGAGATGGCCGAAGGATAAGGGAACCAACATGGCCGGCACGCAACGCGCAAAGGGCGCCGTCTCAGACGGATCTGGTCAGGCTGGAAATTGGATGGATTGTCCTCCAGCTCTGCGTTGCCGCCGCCGTCGCCTTCGACGGCAACGAAGACTTCCATCGACAATCAACAGCTCTCGAACAGCTTTCGCGTATCTCGGAGCCATAAGCAGCGCTTAGCCAGCGCCTCCCCTCCTTGGCTCATGGCAGGGACGGCCAAGACTACGTGGCGAGCCGATAGACCAGACCTGACGTGAGTTCAGAAGATGCGCCCTCTCCTCATCATGCTTGGTTGCAAGTGCACCCACTGGAGCATCGTGAGCGAGAACTACGAAGGAGCCGTTGTGAGGGTTGGCTGGGTGCTCAGGGGGGCACGAAGGCGAGGCTGCGTTCAAGGTGACCTTGCCATGAGGCTCGGACGGAGGATCCCGCCGTGGAGCACGATCGCCTTGGACGTGAGGCTCTGTGGAAGGTTTCCAGTGATTCAGGCTCGTCGTCAGGCGTCAGCATGGCGCGAAAGGAGCTGTTCAGCAGCAAAGCTCCGCTGCCAGGATGTGACGAAAATGCGAGCCTCCGCAATCGTCTAGTTTTCAAATCATCTCGTTGCGGAACGAGATGGAGAGCCTATGCCGAAACAGCAATGGGACAATGGGGGCCAATTATGCAGGGGACCAAAAGGAACAGCCAAAACAATCACAAGATGTGCCGGGCTAACGCCGAAGAGGACTTGCATCATCCGCGACATACGCCGTTGTTTGCTAGTCAAAGGAGGGCTTTTCGCCGTGAGGCTCCGGAGCAGTTGACAACCTGCCTCACAAAAGCACCCTCTTGCGTCCTCCCGCTCCCCGCTCCCCGCTCCCCGCTCCAGCACTCCAGCACTCCAGGACTCCAGGAGCCCGCCCTACCTCCCCCTCGCTTTTGGATCCAAGCAGCTCAAGCACGTGTCATCTGTAGCATTGGGCATCAAGCACTCCGAGTCGAGAATGCAAAACAGTCCTAGCCTCAAAGAATAACCGGGCTCGTCCCAAAGACGTGCCATGTGTCCACAGTTTCTGTGCTCCCCGGCGGCTTTCTCTCCAGTTGGTCGATAATTTCTTTGTTATCTTGCCTGGAATGCAGCCAAATCGATGTCATGATGGCTCCCCCCCTCTGAACTATGAAGAAGTATGTAACCACCTGCTTTCTTGATACACCAGCACTTCCAATGCAGAATTATGCCCGGGTGCCACTCAATATGGCTCCAGGAGATTCCCTCCTCGTTGTAGAGCTGCTGCTCCAGCGTGAACCTCCAGCTGCAGGGGGTAAGTCTCCAGCTGTCTGTGCGCATTTGGACGTTTGGATTCAGAGCCAAAGATTGGGCTGCAAACCTGACCCCAATAAGTGTGTCAAGCTTTGCCCCGGAGAAGCACAGGCAACCCATCAGGCCAAGCATCATGTGCGAGTTGAAGTGCTGCTGCAGCTTCTCATTTGCAAAATTAATGCAAAGCTGCCTTGCGGTTCGGAAATGGCATCACTCCAAGCACTCTGGGTTTGGCTCATGCAAATTCCTGGGACCAAGGGCTCAAAGGAGTTCCACTCAAAGACCTCGAACCCATAGATGTCCAAAATGCCGATCTTCTTGGTGTTCTCCTTGCAGCATGCCCATTAAGCCGTGGGCCGAATGCAATCTCCAATCACATGACGTCCTTTCTGCCACCACCGCCACCTTTGCCAGCAGCGCTGAGGTTGATCCGCCAAACGAGCCAGTCAAAAAGTCGAGAGTACCTTGAGCTGACAGCTTTTTTTTCCGAGGGGTCATGCCACATTCGAGTTCTTTACACGGGCGAACCACTTGCAAAATGACACCCCGCTTTGTGGACTAATGCTGAAGCCTGTCTGGCAAGCGGCAGGTGCTTGGCCATCGAGTGACGGGTGTTTGATGAGCTTGTTGGATCCTTTCCCACAATCAAGTGCACAAAGGTTCTCCCAGTCACTACATCAAAGTCACTACATCAAAGTCACTTCCCAGGCGTCCTGCGGCATGTGAATGATCTTCTTTGTGAATGGATCTTCCAGGGTTTTGTGCCTTGTACAATGTCAATCTAGCTCAGGAGAGGCCAGACTACCAGTCAAAGCTGCTGCAAGGGCACTGAAAGGTCGTTGTGAAATCTGCCTTGGACACTTTCAGTAGCTCGCAAATCTTGTCGGTCAGCGCGCCATCGGGCAGAACGCTTCCGTCATCCCCCTCCTGTCTACGAACGTCGGGTGTGTCGGAGTCTCACACCTTTGTCCCCCTGAGCATGCAGAATCAAATCGGGCCCCCCTTCACGAAGGGAAGTTGGCGGTCCTCGAACTGCATATCACCCAAGTGCAGCACCTGGAACAAGCACGACTTGCGATCAGGGTCTGGAAAGTCTGGAAAAAGTTCGGCCGAGGAGCTGCAGCCACAATCTGAAACACCGAGTTCTTCTCCTCCTTGCTGAAGCCCAGGCCATCCATGCAGTCTGCAGCCTCCTGCCATGAACACAAATACGAACCCTTCTGCAACGCGAAGTAGTCCTCCAACATGCTGGCATCGTCGACCCCGTCAATTTCCGTGCAGACCTGGCAAAGCACCCCCGCATGAAAGTCCTGAAGGGGCCGTTCCATTTCGCACCCAAGAACATAGCTCGTCACTAGCGGCAAAATGCGCATGTCCATGAGGGTGTTGCATGGTGTAATGACTGTTCTTTGCCAAGCGTGGGGTGGTGCTTTGCGCTCTCACCTCGAACATTTGAGCAGAACACGCATTAGTACAAGTCCCCCCACCCACCCCCCGCGTGGGTGGCTGCAGGTGATTCTTTCCGGATTTTGAGGCTCTGCGTGCTTTTGCGAAGCTTGCTGAATGGCCCCAATGTCAAATGAGTTTGCCACAATCAAGCTAGTACGGCTACATCCCATGATCAAATCAAATCAATGCAGAGGTCGCCTCCCGTGCACCCAAACCTACGCGCTGATACAACCTGCAACCAGGCAACTGCTGTGTAGGAATGCTCGTAGGCCGAGCGCAACCCCAGAGTTGGACCGATGTCGGACAGCGAGTGGCCACCAGCGCACAGCTGATAGAATGCCTCAGCACCATCAAAAACTGCAACAGCTATCCCACCCCCGCCCCCCCTTTCTGAGAAACCAGCATGGTATCCTCTTTCATCTGGCTGTTGCTTGACCTTGGCCGCCCACCTGGCCTATGCAACAAAGCGCAAACAACCCCTATGTCCAGCGCCTATGGATATCAGTGCCGTGCTGGACTGGCATTCAGCCCACATACTCCTGGACTGGGATGGAGACAATACGGCTCTTCTCCAACAGGTAGTTCGAGATTTTGGCACTTGTCAGCTTCCCGGAACTACCAAACCTGGCCATTTCGAGAAAGATCTTCCGGAACGCAATTATGAATTGGCTTCAAACACACAAGTGCAAAGCGAGTTGCTCTATGTCAATGAACTTGCCAAAGCGGGAGGAGTTGTCATTTCTTATCGTCTTTGCCTGGGCAGCAACGACTACGAACATCCACAGCTTCGAGTCTTGAAAAATATCAGGCCCGCACATTGCCAAAGGCTTCCAGGATGGGGTTAGATCTAAGCACCTGCTCTTCGATGCTCGTCTTCTCGCTTGTGGCGCCTGGGGCACAAAGGCACATGGACTGCGAAAAGCAAAGCCAGTGCAGTCCTGCCGTCCTTTGGAGGTTTGCAAAATACCTGGGCCAAATCGGCTGTTCCAAGCAAAGCAGGCCCCCATGAAGCCGAGGCTTCCAGGTTGTTGACCCTTCCTATCTCCTTCTCCCTCTCTCTTGCCCTCTCTCACCGAAGATTCTGGGGATTGGCCATGGGTGTTCCATCCTGGCCGATGGGACTGCGCTGATTTCAAGGCTTGGAGCTGTTCAGGATCTCTACGATGCAGGATGGGGCTGCACGCTACCAAACCACTGCCAGGCTGCGTAAGGATGCGTTTCGTTGCCTCCGTCTTGCCAGCCCCACTTTCGCCCGAGATGATAATTGACCTAACAACGTCGCAGGCGAGCATTGCCGATATTCGACATCGGCCCTGGCACTCTCAGAAAGCCACTGATTCCTTGCATCCCCCAGCATGGCAGTATAGGCAGCTGCAGCAACGGAGAAAAGATGGGGAGGCACATCCGCATCTTCGCCGCTGCCTGCAGTCAGGCTCACACCAGCGCGGGCCTGCACTTTGCCACAGGGCCTGCTGCTGCAGATCGCTCGCGGTAGAATTTCTGCTTCGCTTCCGTGTAAAGCCCAGGAAGATTCTGAAAAGGATTGACCTTGGCGTCAGCTGCATGCACGCGGCACACACTTTGCCGCACTCTTGATGAGCCTTCCCATGCTGCCAGGCGGCTGAAATAAGGATGGGGCCTGGGAGCAGGGCTTGGCTAACCAGAAGCTCAGGCAACGCACTCTGGAGTCAAGACACTGCCAATGCCGGTGTAGATATTGTCATTGAAGTATCTGGAGCGCACGTTGTGAAGGAGCGCTCCCTCGTTGAAGTCGCCAAGTGACAACCTAAAGAAAGGCGAAAGGCTCAGCAACTATTTGCTCAAATAGAATTGCAATGGAGGAACAAGTCGTCCACTCCCCTTAGGCAGTTGGGATCCACTTGTCTGGCGTTCTCTGGTGCCACCTCGAACTTCGTGCCCTGACATCTCACTCATGGGCACAAAATTGGGCAGCTTCTGGCCTGGTCGTCCACCACCACATAGAGTCCTCGAACCAAAACTGAGTTGCAATCTTGCATGACATGTATCGACATGGCCCGCAGCAAGGCCCTGGGGCCACGCACCATTCGAGCCCACGGAATCGACTCGACCAGGTGCCCAGCCCTGACTGCAAGCGATCTTGACATCAAGACCCGACATCCGGGCCTCGGTGGGATGATTTTCAATCCAGACCCTGGCATTTCCATTGCCCCCAGTTAGCACATCCATGGCTCCGTCGCTCACCAGGGCGCAAGATGTAATTGCACTCAGGGCTTGAAATCTAGGTTCTCTCAGCTCTAAAGTTTCATGAGCTGCCACAGCCAAACCGTGAAGCACGCAAATGGCTTGTCTTAGAGTACGCATGTGCCAGTCTCAATTCTTTGAACCATTGCAGATACAAAATTGTAATAATGACCTCTCACATGCCATCGACGCCTGTATGCATACACACGGGAATGAATGAATGAACGAACGAACGAAGGAGTGAGTGAGTGAGTCAGTGAGTGAGTGAGTCAATGAGTGAGTTGAGTTGAGCTGAGCTGAGTGGAGTGGAGTGGAGAGTGGAGTGTGAGTGGAGTGTGAGTGGAGTGTGAGTGGAGTGTGAGTGGTGTGTGAGTGGAGTGTGAGTGGAGTGTGAGTGGAGTATGAGTGGAGTGTGAGTGGAGTGAGTGGAGCGTGAGTGGATTGTGAGTGGAGTGTGGGTGGAGTGTGAGTGGAGTGTGAGTGGAGTGTGAGTGGAGTGTGGGTGGAGTGTGGGCGGAGTGTGAGTGGAGTGTGAGTGGAGTGTGAGTGGAGTGTGCGTGGAGCGCGAGTGGAGGGAGGGCGAGTGGAGGGCAAGTGGAGGGGCAAGTGGAGGGGCGAGTGGGGCGAGTGGAGGCGAGTGGAGGCGAGTGGAGGGGCGAGTGGAGGGGCAAGTGGAGGGGCAAGTGAAGAGGCAAGTGGAGGGCAAGTGAGAGTGGAGTGTGAGAGTGGAGTGTGAGAGTGGAGTGTGAGAGTGGAGTGTGAGAGTGGAGTGTGAGAGTGGAGTGTGAGAGTGGAGCGTGGGAGTGGAGCGTGAGTGAGAAACCTAGAAATATATTTGTTTCCCCAACAAGACTGGTTGTAATGCCCTTCAGGGTGGGTACGAAGGCTTGAATATCCTCATCCCGGTGCTCAGCCCGTAAGCTCGATATTTGTTCCTGATGCAACTGTGCACGCTTGTCGTTGTGAACAATCGCATGTTACTTGAGCCGTATGGCCATGGTGGATGTAAACAGGTAATATCATGATGATGATCTATTCACACCCCCCACGCAGTATGCCTCATTCTGAGGTTGTGGAAACTATTTTCATTGTGGGACCATCAATGAACATGACCTAACTAGCACTGAGTACTCACGCTCCGTTAAACGGTAGCGCTTTCCCCGTAAACGTGCCCAATTCACAGCAAAGGCATTTGTCGTGGAAATGCCCGAAAAGTTGGGCGATATCGCATCACAATCTTCACATGAAGACATAATACCATTGGCGGCCCTCGTCTCCCAGAACGAACACATCGGCACTGCCTAACCCGGACATCGGTGTGGAAGAGTGGCGCATCAGCTCTTCGCCCACTCAGCCCCAAATGGCCCGGCCGGTCCACACCTTAACGCTGGACTCAGGCCTCACGGTATACCTTTGTCTTGCCACACCCCTTCTTGTCGACCAACGCCACATAGACCTGACTGAAGTTGTGATCCAGCATTTCCCGATTCTTACAAAAGCTCTGCAATTGTTCCCAGAAAGTTCCCAAGCTCCCAAGAAGAGCAGGTTCGAGCAGGTTGCTGGTCAGCACGGTCATCCAGTGGGAATTGGTCGTGGTCAGGGTTTTGAGATGCTTGCACTTCGTCAACGCATTCTCAATCAACTTGCCCAACCGCATTCGTGTTTCGATGGCAGTCAGGTTCTCATAAATCGTCTTGAACACGACACCCAGGCCATTACAATCAGGAATGTCCTGAGAGCAAGCAAAGCACGACCACACCAATAACACAGGTACTCCCGTGGTTATCCATGCGCTCGCCGAAGCGAGGTTGTTCTTGTACTTTCGGGGGTCCCTGGGCGTCCCTCCCAGCCGCAATCGCTTCGGGTTCGCGCTTGTCGCTGGCGCGGCATGGTCGGTGCACGCGTCCTGTAACCCTCAATGAGTACTTTGTGTAGACGGCCGGGACGTCCAGAGGCCACATACCCCCGATGGCTGCGTAGAAGGCTCATCCTTCCTCACAAACATTGTGGAGAGACGAGGATAATTTCCACCAGAAAAGGAAGGCGGTGGACTGGATCCGGGAGTCCGTCAAGCGGTCCCCCCTTCACACAGTCGTTGAATGATTGACCGACGGATCCGGAGGCAAGCGATACCTCCTGCACACGATCGTCTTCGGAATTCACCCGGAAAGCAAGGTCGTCAAGCGATTCCCACTTCCAGTTGGATTGAATACCATCGGAAAGCAAAGCACTGCTCGCACCAATGCGAGAATGAACCGAAATGGCACACAATACTAACTGTGCGATGGGTTTGCTAAGGCTACCAACATGTGCTGACAGGCTGCTTGCTCTGCAACTGCCTTCACATCTCTGATATGTCTTGAACCCATGCATGCAGTACTCTACGAGCCGGCGGCAAAGAGACGGAGAATAAACTTCTGTTCGCACAAGGGGCGTGCTCATGCGATCCATCACACTTGAGCTCGAGGTCCTTTGGTTTGCCGAGGTTCCACGAAAGAAACGACCAGGGTTTCTTGATCACCCTGCCCACCCCGTACTGTTCAACAACTCCATACATACACCCATGGACATGGAAGTGCCTGCAATCGGTTCCTGACATGAGGTCGAGCATACGCTTAATAAGCACAACCCTTTGGCAACCCCAATAGGGCACCGCAATGTTGGCGCTCGTGCATGACTTCAGCAAAAGCATCGAACAGTTTCCAGAAAATGGTCTTCTTCTGCTTGATCTTGCGCAGTGTCTCTCCTCCTTTGGACTCATTGAGTCGGTTCCAGGCCGACCCCCCAGTGCATGGACCCGCAAAGATCCTTGTTGGATAAGGGCTTTGAGGGTGGCTTGGTACCCGTACTTTCCAACGTTGAAGTCTTCCTGTTCAGTGATGGTCATCAAATTGATCTTCACCGTTCCTTCACCTTAGCGAAATGGTTCTTGATCTCCGCGCACGCCAAAACCAATGTAGGGCGTCCCTTCAAAGGCTCGTGAAGCGAAATGCGTACATCGAAACAAGATCCAATGGGTCCGGGTACGGAAAACTGCGTCCTGGTTTTGTTGCCATTTTGCCTGAGGAACTCAACCTGTACCATTGTGCTTGCGACATTGTTCTTCCTGTGGTTCCATGACACATAGCATGCACACCATGTGTCCCGCAAAATGTCGTTCTTTTGTGTGTGTGGTAGATGTTTCATTTGCTTTTTATCAGTCTTGAGCCGTTCGAAATGGGTAGGACTCCCGCCATGGGCAAGGGAAGTTATTGCCTTGAGCGGCGTCGGTGTGGTGCGGGTGTCGCCCCCCGTTCCTTGGGCAGTACTCGAGATTCAGTCTTGCCCGTCCATTGAGCCGGGAGCTTGCGGGTCCCATCAACGGGATCCCTCCACGCATCATTGACGCACTGGGACACACCCCCCAGTTTCCTGCGGGGGCAACGATGATACCTCACCAAGATACCTTCAGCCTCCCTTTACACCCATTTGTCAAATTTAAGTGACTCCAGCGTCCCTGAGGTCGTGTCTTGGGATTCCGGAACAACGACGGACTTCGAAGAATCCGCCTTGGCCGCGCGGGTTGGTCCCTCGCCGGCCTTCTTGAACAGGAAAACAGCTCGATCCACCCAGTATTTGATGACATTATGAATTATTCGAGCGACTCGGCTCCTCATCCCAAGGCTCAAGCTCCCATTTCCCATTAGGAAGCACCCACGTCGTACGCAACCAACGCACACCGTCATCCTCCTTCCCGGTCTAAGCTTCTTGAGCCTGGGCATCTTGGCCACCACGAAAATAGGTGAACCCTCGTGTTTGTGTGACCAACTTTGGACGTCATGCCCGGCTTGTACATGTGTGTTTGGGTATATGGAAATGCTGGAACTTCATCCACCACCTGCCCATATGCCTGACGTTGGCCAGACTCGGCGTCATGGGACGGCGTCAATGCTTCCAACGTTGCGGATCGTCCAGATCACCCTGATCAAAGATGTTGACTAACATACACGCATGCTTCCAACGAATGGGATCAGCAAAAGCCTTTGTGTAAATGTCGATTCTCTCTGGCTATTGCCCACCAACGGAAAACAAGTATGCTTGCCACGCAAGTTCACTTGACAGCCCGAAGTGGAACGCAGGGAATCGACACATCCCGAGAAATCTGCGTCTGCATACATGGCCACCTGAACCTGGTCTAATGGATCACCAACCCAACCGACCAGCTTCTTTTGTTTGGACCAATTGACGTAACACATCAAGTCGCTTGTCGTCCTCTTTGCTCCATTTTGTGACATGACGCGCCAATGGGAGCAAAACGAACCTTGCTACACGCGCCGCGTATAGCAATTTCATGAGCACACTAGCTGCGTGAGGTGCAAGTTCCCCTTGAACCAGTGGCTGCGCATCCGTCTCGCCCGTCCCGCCTGGAATGAATGGAACATCAGGATTGAATGTATGCTTGCACCAGGTGCATTCCACCCGTTTGCCGAAAGTATACGGCCTTCGCGCTGGATGGTCCTTCATATCCTCCGAAGGCGACGGAGTCTTGGCATCCTTCAATTTGACATGGTTCCCAATGATATCCCTATACTTCTGAACAGACATCGCAAGGACTTCTTCCATGTCATAGGTCACCGTGTTGACTTGCACACCACCCAACTTGGTAGCTCCTTTTATCTGATTGCAACCCAAGTATAAACCGAGACTCGTTTCAGGTTCGATCTCAAGCTTGGTGCAAAGGAGGCCCCGCCCCTTCTTCAGATTTCCTTTCGGACCAGACATCTTGAAGTCGTCCACGTAGACTACCAGCAAGAAGTTAAGTTCCTTATGGACATAGACGGATGGCCATTCCACCTCCGCAGGAACAAAACCCACCTTTGTGGCACAAGCGCTTTCACCATTCTGACGCAGGGTTTTCGGAATTTGTTCCAGCTTCCATCTTCCGGCCAACGATCCCTTGCGAGCTCCGCCCACAAGGCAGGACCTTCAATGTAAGCCTGAATGTA